AGTTCAAAAGTTCTGGATTTCAGAAATTCAGTAGTTCAGTTCAGTAATTCAGTAATTTAGGAATTTAGGATTTTAGGAATTTCAAAATTTCAGAATTTCAGAATTCAGTAATTTAGGAATTTAGGAATTTAGGAATTTAGGAATTTAGGAATTTAGGAACTTAGGAATTTCAGAATTCAGGAATTCAGGAATTTAGCAACTGCAGAATAAAGGAATTTAGTAATTTAGGAATTTAAGGACTGAAGAATTCAGTAATTCAGTAAATCAGTAATTTAGGTATTTAGAAATTTCAGGATTCAGTAATTCAGCAATTTAGGAATTCAGAACTTTAGTAATCCAGGAATACAGCAACTCTAGAATAAAGGAATTTAAGAATTTAGGAACTGATGAATTCAGTAATTCAGTAATTTAGGAATCCAGAAATTCAGCAATTTAGCAACTGTAGAATAAAGAAATTTAGTAATTTAGGAATTTAGAAACTGAAGAATGAACAAATTCAGGAACTTAAGAATTTAGTAATTCAAGTATTCAGCAACTGAGGAACACATAGATTCAAGAATTCAGGAATTCAGAAGTTCAGGAATTCAACAAATTAAAAATTCAGGAATTCATAGATTCACGAATTGAGGAATTCACAAATTCAACAATTCAAGAGTTCAGCAATTCAGGGATTGTGGAATATGGAATTTTAAGAACTTAGGAATTTGGGAATTACAGAGTGAAAGAATTTAAGAATTGAGAAATTCAGGTACTCAGTATCTTAGAAACTTATATACTTAACAACTTAGAAATTTAAGAATTTAAAAATGAAAAAACTTATGCATTTATGTATTTAAGAATGAAAGAGCTTAGAAATTTAAGAATTTAGTTATATAGTAATTCAGGAATTCATTCTCCATAGAAAATTAATGAAGCAACCCAACATCACTATAATTGCCAACTCCACTTACAAACACCCCCAATCATTTTCGAAACACTTTATTTTCCATAATTACAGAAGAAACACGAGGAAGTAATTAAAATAAAGCCCCTTTCAGCAACACGATAGGGGAGGCTCCCCGAATTCGAGGGTTGAATTTGAAAAACGAAGGGCGTATATGTTCAGAACGTGTAAAGGAAGCAATTGTATTATCAAGTATCAAATATCAAGGGAGTACCCGGAAGAAACCTAATTACATTTAAATTCGCCAAACAAGAACGAAAGTTGTCTCGGTTTGTAGAAGGAAATACACTAATGGAAGTATCGTTTACTCTGAACTTAGTTTCTCAGTTCTCTAGGTTATCTATCGATTTTTTCCTCTACGCGAAACTTGTTCTTAAACATTCGAAGAATTAGAGCGTTAGTTATGTTCTCAGACATACACTTCCGAGAAACTTTGCTATCAAATATCTTGTAATTGCGTGCATCTAAATACTCGTATCACTGAACTTGTTTGCAACTTTTGTGCGGCTGTGTTACTGAGGAAGGTATAGAAGGATGGGAACATAATTGCATGTTGGGAGTTAAATTTGTATGCAAACGTTCCTCGCAGTTTGTAGAGTAATGTAAATCTTGATATCTGCTGGTTTCAAGGGGTGAAAATTTGAAAGTTCTAATTTGGGGATGGGTGAGATTTTTGGACACCGAAAATTGCAAGTTTGTGAATTTTTTAATATGTAAGGGTTGGGAGATTTGAAGTTTTAAAATTGGTATTTGGGCGTTGAGAAATTTGGGAATTTAGGGATTATGAAATTTTGGATACTGAGGATGTGGTTGGTTGGGAATTTAGAAGTTTGGGAAGTGGAAATTTACATTTGCTAATGTGGAAATTTGCAAAGTTAGAAATTTGGGAATTTGGGAATTTGAGAATTTGGTAATTTAGGAATTTGGGAATTTGGGGATTTGGGGATTTGGGAATTTGGGAATTTGGGAATTTGGGAAATTGGGAATTTGGAAATCTGGGAATTTGAGAATTTGAGAATTTTGGGAATTTGGGAATTTGGGAATTTGGGAATTTGGGAATTTGGGAATTTGGGAATTTGGGAATTTGGGAATTTGGGAATTTGGGAATTTGGGAATTTGGGAATTTGGGAATTTGGGAATTTGGGAATTTGGGAATTTGGGAATTTGGGAATTTGGGAATTTGGGAATTTGGGAACTTATGAATTTGGGAATTTGAGAATTTGAGAATTTGAGAATTTGAGAATTTGGGGAATTTGGGAATTTGGGAATTTGGGAATTTGGGAATTTGGGAATTTGGGAATTTGGGAATTTGGGAATTTGGGAATTTGGGAATTTGGGAATTTGGGAATTTGGGAATTTGGGAATTTGGGAATTTGGGAATTTGGGAATTTGGGAATTTGGGAATTTGGGAATTTGGGAATTTGGGAATTTGGGAATTTGGGAATTTGGGAATTTGGGAGAATTTAGGAATTTGAGAATTTGAGAATTTGGAAATTTGAGAATTTGGGAATTTGGGAATTTGGGAATTTGGGAATTTGGGAATTTGGGAATTTGGGAATTTGGGAATTTGGGAATTTGGGAATTTGGGAATTTGGGAATTTGGGAATTTGGGAATTTGGGAATTTGGGAATTTGGGAATTTGGGAATTTGGGAATTTGGGAATTTGGGAATTTGGGAATTTGGGAATTTGGGAATTTGGGAATTTGGGAATTTAGGAATTTAAGAGTTTGATACTATAAAAATTTAGAAATTTACCAAAAGTTTACACACTGCTTTGAAAATTTAAAAACTTAACAATTTCATCATTCAAAAATTCACAAACTCACAAATTCCCAAATTTAAAGTTTAACTAGAAAATTTAAAAATTTGAGAACAATCAGACAATCTGAAAGTTTGGAAACCGCCGAATATTACGAATTGCTGTTAAATTATATGGCAGCTAGTAAATAGCTAAAATCCGCATATCAAGTAATGCGACGAGATCGCGATAGCGAACCAAAATTGAGAACATTGCAATCCTCGGAAGCTGTCTTCAGAAAGTTTCAGCACACGGCATTCGCTTGCCTACATTTTCCAGAATTCCATTCAATTCAAAATGAAAAGGGAACAAGCTCTTCTAACTTCGAAGCTTTTTGCCTTTGTAAGCGAAGGATTTTCATTTATCCCTCTTATTTCTCCTTTACACGCTAAGTGTTCCAATATTTACAGACGACATATTAACGTTGGGAAGAGTTCCTTAATTTCAAACCGAAATTAAACCATTGCCTTTATTCATGTATACATTGATTCAACTTGATATTATATAAATAACTATACTGTAAATAATAAATATAGTGATAATTTTGAGGTTAGTTCAACATTTAAGGTTAGCTGAACATTTGAGGTTAGTTCAACATTTGAGGTTAGCTCAATATTTGATGTTAGCCTTGAAGTTAGCTTTGTTTAAGGTTACTCAACAGTTGAGGTTAGTTCAATATGTGGAAATATTACATATGCGTTAATTTAAATAATGAGTTAATTTGAATTACTGTGGGACAATGTTCCCATCTTCACTTCATATTGAAAACATCATAATTTCAATTCAAACATACATTACAATGTTGTTTCTGTCAAGTGTTCACATTCATGTTTCACATGTTGTTACAACATTTACCTAAAACTTGCATTACATAATTTAGTTGTTAAAATACATTTGTCAAATAAAAGTTCCTTAAAGTAGTGAAAGACAAACCTAATCCAATTTAAGATACCTATGATTGGACTAGCACACCAATTTGTTAAATTTGACCATCAACTGATCAACTAGTAAAATCATGTAGCACCTCATTCTATTTAACTAGATTTATATAAGAAATACAATAATCAAAATTGTTTTCAAATCTTCAAACAACTGTCACAGTTTTGATATACTTTTTGTGAGATTCAGAGGTAGATAACCTAACTTCATCTCCTGAAGCTGGACAGTTAATTCTGTACAGTCTAATGAGTCACATAATATCTCATTCTATATAACTAGATTTATATAAGAAATACAATAATCAAAATCGTTTTCAAATCTTCAAACAGCTGTCACAGTTTTGATATATCTTTTGTTAGACTCAAAGGTAGATAGCCTAACCTCAACTCATAAAGTTGGACAGTTAATTCTGTCCAGTTTAATGAGTCACATAATATCTTATTTTATATAACTAGATTTATATAAGAAATACAATAATCAAAATTGTTTTCAAATCTTCAAACAACTGTCACAGTTTTGATATACTTTTTGTGAGGTTCAGAGGTAGATAGCCTAACTTCAACTCATAAAATTGGACAGTTAATTTTGTTCAGTTTAACAAGCCACATAATAAATCATTCTCTTTAACTAGATGTATACATACAATGTATAAATTTTCAAACTATCCGAACCGATCATTTAACCTGATCCTCAGAGGTGAATGCCCCAGCCATCAGCAACATTCTCAACCCTGTAAAATTCGCAAACCACAGTTCTCCCCGATACAAACAACCTCATGTTTCCGCGTTTCTCGAGGGGCGAAATCAGCCCGCGGAGTTCCGTTTCTATTCGTGGCTGAGCGGCATCTACTTCCGCGTAGCCGGAAGCGAGCACGTAATAAGAGGTCTCATCCTGCAGCGACATCAGGAAGCAGCAAAGGCTCTGTTTTAATATGAATGACGTACACGGTTCAATTCCTCGGGGCATTAATAGGTCGAATCGTCGATAATCCGAGTGAACGAAACGTCAGCAAAAAGGAGCAGAGAAGAGGGTGTAGGAGGAAGAAGCGGATCACAGGGTTGATCGGGGCTAGGTCAAAAAGGGGCAGACAAATAGCGAGGGAAGGGTGAAGAAAAAAGAGCCGTGTGTTTGTGAAGTTGTGTGTGTACAGGATGTATGAAAAGGGTGAAGAGAGTTGCTCGGAGGAGGGGAATTGTCATTCGGGTGGAATTGCAATTTCTCGCTGACGCGTGCCGTGCAACCTCCGGCGTGAAGAGTAAAAGCGGACTAATGATGCACACTAGACTTAATGCTCCGTTCCTGTTCTCATTTCCCATAAAGGTGCGAGCTGCCTGCGGGATGTCAGCCTAGAAATAGTTCCGGAGGTGGTGCAACGTGGTCAGAAGGCGATTCTGCGCTGCCATTACGATCTCGAGAAGGCTCCTCTCTACTCCCTCAAGTGGTACCGTGGCAAGCACGAGTTCTACCGTTTCGCACCCAGCGATGAACCAGCCACCAAGTATTTCAACATACCCGGAATTTACGTTGACGTAAGTTTTCATATCCGTTTCTTTCTTACTCTTAAACTATATTACACGATCATTTCCCACTTGTGGATGTGCTGCGCGCGAAAATTGACTACCTCGGATAACTCCGACTTCCTTCGGATAACTCCGTCTTCCTTCGGATGACTCCGTCTTACCGTTCGTCATGATTGGCAATATGTCTGACGGTCGTACATTTATTCATACAAATAAATTTACTTTTCCAGAATTAAATGCATTCAAAAATTATTATGAAAATAACATATGTGAATGAATTAGAGGCCATCTTAAATAGGTCATCAGTTTCACATTAATTTAATAAATTAAATTAACCTAATACATCTTAAATAAATTAAAGACTAACCTTAAATAAGCTAAAGGTTAACTTTAACAACTTTATCTTAAACAAGCGGATAAAAATATAAATAAAAAGCTTGAAAAACTCCTATTTTCTGAGAAAAGTCAAATTTGGAAATTAAAAGTAAATTAACTCTTCATAGTATGAAATTCTGTTGTGTAAATATGTTTGAAAAATTGTTCCAAGAGGCACGTTGAAGTTCGTTGATTTCAACTTTTCAAGTGGCTCTTGGGCACGTTTTTAATAAATCCTCATCAGACTTGTTTAATTTGCTTCAACTGTTTTAATTTGTTTAACTGAAAAAATGCAGGACTAAATTGTTATTGATTGCTTTTCGTAGTAACTTTAACTTTGTCAGTTTCGGAATTTTCTGATAAAACATTCAGCTCTTCATAGTATCGTAACAGGCGGATGAAAAATATTGATTCTTCGAACTTTGCGGAAGTATGTACTTTAATTGGTTCGTCGATATGGAGACAAATTAAATTATTCGAAACAAGAGCTGGTAAAATTGTAAAAAAAGGATACTTTGAAAATTAGAGGATTTTAGACATTCCAACGTTTGTAGTTACAGTTTTAATGGTTTTTGAATATTTTTTTGAGAAATATCATTAAGTGCAATTTCATAACATTATGTTACATTTTCAATCATTTTTGAATAATTTATTGAGAAATTTCACTAACTGAAGTTTCAGAACATTATGTTATATTTTCCATCATTTTTTGAATAATTTTTTGAGAAATGTCTCTAACTGAAGTTTCCTAACACTATATTACATTTTCAGTCATTTTTTGAATAATTTTTTGAGAAATGTCTAACTGAAGTTTCATAACACTATATTACATTTTCAATAATTTTTTGAATAATTTTTTGAGAAATGTCACTAACTGAGGTTTCTTAAAATTATGTTACATTTCTCATCATTTTTTGAATATTTTTTTGAGAAATGTCGCTAACTGAAGTTTCATAACATTATGTTAAATTTTCAATCATTTCTGAATAATTTTTTGAGAAATGTCACTAACTGTTTCATAAAATTATGTTACATTTTCAATCATTTTTTAATAATTTTTTAAGAAATGTCACTAACTGTTTCATAAAATTATGTAATTTTGAATAAAATTCCACATCAATTTTGATGCATGTGAATAAATTTTTTACAAATTAATTTTTCTACAGAAATACACATACCATTAATTAACTACGCTGAAAATTGACGTTTAATAATAAAATATTCGTGAAATTTCAGCTCTTCAAACCTGCAGTAAAAACGAGGTTATGTAATGAATTTAATATAAACGCAATAAAGTTAACCATATCGTGCATTAATGAATGACTTGAATCCATGCCACGAATATCTCGAATTCCAATCGTTTATGGCAGCGGCTCTCAATCAGTGGTATGCGTATCACTTTACATGGTATACGAAAAACATTTGAGCGGTATGTGAATGCTTTGTGCAATATGCAGTACAACAATCTCGTCGTTGAAAACTTCATTTTCTGTGTTAAAATGCAAATTCAGAGAAATGGACTTCCTGGTACGTTTTACTGAATTCATTTAATTAGATCGAAATATGCAACCTAACCTAACCAAGTTTACAAATATCAAACGATTCTAATTGTATTTTTCATTAATTGTTAGTTGATTTCTTCTGTGAACAAAATTTGTGAAATTTATGTAATTAATTATTTGTGAAATTATAAATCGTGCTGAAGCATATGTGAAGTTGTTTTAGAAATAGTAGAATTGATTGATATATAATTTCATGGATTGAAATGAAAAAATTGAGAACCACTGTTAACAATTAAAAATGATGGAACATACAATTATATCCATCAATTGAAAATTTATAATCAAGCTTATTTTCGCGAGAATTTATACATAAAATGTTTCTGGTGATTAACGAAACACGAATTTATCTCGTTCCATTTTCAATTGCAATTTACGATCATCGTTGAACGTATTTATTTATCAATTAATTCTTTACGATCAGATGACATCAAACATTTCGATCACTTTGATCAATCTTCCAAGAGAAAAATATCAAGTACCTGGGCTAATTAACGAAATGCCATCGGGTCAGATCGTTGAATTCGGTGAAAATTCAATTATTGGTCAAGTAGCGATTTATCGGCAATCTCTGTGTTCTTGAATAGTCAGCAAAAAATTTTCACCCGGAAATCGCCATATAATTGAAAAAAGAGTGTAATCACGAAATTTGCTGAATACTCGGTTTCCACGAGTTTGGGTTACTGTCGATAAAGTTTTAGTTACACAAAACGAGTTTCGTTATTTGAATGTATTTTAGGTTCGACGAAAATGAAACTAAAATCGAATTCTGTTCAATCATCTATCTTTCAACGAAATTGTTTGCGTTTCAACGTACACTGCAATATGGAGGTACATAGTTGATTCCTTGCACAGCTCTGCATTTTTCAAATATAATCATTGACTTTTTTTGTTGGAATCGGATGAAAAAGTTATAGGAAAATATATGAACTAGTTTAACAATTGTGATACAGAATGTAGGACAGCATTTTGCGTAGAAGAGGTTAGGTTGCCACGAATTCACACAGTGCTGACATCTACATCATAAATGCGCGGGAAAATGCAATATTCAAATTGCTATCGTACATTTCTTTGTTACATGTGATGAAATTGTACAATATTATAGTTTATTTTAAGCACAAAGATATCGAAATGTAATACTGTTCAAAAATTAATAAAAAAATTAGAATAAAATGTTTTATTAATATAAGAATATTGAACTGAAATATTCGTATCATTAAAATATTACAAATCAATATTTTTATAACAAAATATTTGTCTTCGGTTTTTCATAGACAAAATAACATTTTTAATTCTCCCAAACTAATTGTAGCAGAAGAAACTAAATTAACAGTAAAATTTAATAAAGATTTTATTATTTCCAAATCAAGCAATGTAAATGCTTACTTGGCTAAAATTTCCATATATTTTATTTAATTTCAAGAGTAAATTTACTACTAGATCAAGTCTTACAGTTCTTCATATAAAAGAACAGATAACAAATTATTAATGATAAATAATTAATAAAAACAATTTGTATGAATAATCCTAATGCACAACGTGTTTTCCCAACTTATACCTCCAAAGCATACGTTGACTACAGGACATCTGTATCTCCAATACAATGTTTGCTTGTTATCTTTACAGTTGAAAGCACAAAGCTCTACGTAAACAACAACATGTTCCGAAACAGAGAATCGTCCGCTGTTTCCTTTGACCCTGTAGTTTCTCAATGGAAACAACTTATATCAACATTTTGTTTCTGTTTCTGGCGACAATGAGAGGCATTAAGGAACACATCGGAACTTCTAGAATAGAGACGGGCCTCGGGGTAATCTCTCGGAGTAACGCGATACGCCTGTTGTAACTCAAACATACTAAAGCAACGATGTGACATACCACTTTAAGCTACCGTTACAATTTATACTTCTGAAAATGTTTAAATTTAACGGTAATTCTGCTGCAAGTAAAGTTACGCCTGGCACGTGATTTACGTTATTGAAACTGTCTGAACTACCATCGGTACGTTATAGGTAGGATTATGGGTGCTTTAGGTTGCAAATTTGGAAATTTGGAAAGGTGAGTTGGATGGGAGATTTGCAGATGTGGATATATGGATATGTGGAGATATGGATATGTGGAAATGTGGATATGTGGAGATGTGGATATGTGGAAATGTGGATATGTAGAGATGTGGATATGTAGAGATGTGGATATGTGGAGATGTGGATATATGGAGATGTGGAGATCTGGAGATGTGGATATGTAGAGATGTGGATATGTGGAGATGTGGATATATGGAGATGTGGAGATCTGGAGATTTGGAGATGTGGATATGTGGAGATGTGAATATATGGAGATGTGAAGATCTGGAGATCTGGAGATCTGGAGATTTGGAAATGTGAACATGTGGAGATGTGGATATGTGGAGATATGGACATATGGAAATTTGGAGATGTGGAGATGTGGACATATGGAGATGTGGATATATGGAGATATGGATATGTGGAAATGTGGATATGTGGAGATGTGGATATGTGGAAATGTGGATATGTAGAGATGTGGATATGTAGAGATGTGGATATGTGGAGATGTGGATATATGGAGATGTGGAGATCTGGAGATGTGGATATGTAGAGATGTGGATATGTGGAGATGTGGATATATGGAGATGTGGAGATCTGGAGATTTGGAGATTTGGAAATGTGGACATGTGGAGACGCGGATATGTGGAGATATGGACATATGGAAATTTGGAGACGTGGAGATGTGGGCATGTGAAGATGTGGATATGTGGAGATATGGACATGTGGAGGTGTGGACATGTGGAGATATGGACATGTGAAGATGTGGATATGTGGAAAGGCAGACATGTGGAGATTTGGAGCCAAGTTCTTTCAAGTTCTCAAGTTCCTTCACTTCTAAAGTCCCACACTCACAAATTCCCACATTCTCAAATCCCCACATTCCCAAATCCCCGCATTCTCAAACCCCCACATGTCCAAATTCCCTCACTCCCAAATGTCCCCCTTGACCACCTAAATTCCCACTCGCCTCCCTCCACTCCCAAAATTTCCAAACTCCTAATCTCAAAAT